AGCAAAAGTCCAGGTGGCTCAGTGGCTTGGTGCTGAGAACTTAATGAAATGTCACCAATTCTAACCGTCCGCGGCTCTGACACAGAATGACGAGGCAATCTGTCTCCATACGGGTCTCAGCCTCAGAAAGCATGAAGAAGAGCTCCTCTCTGCCTGGCAGGGTCGCCGTGCGTCAGCAACATGTGGTTGTGCTCGGCATTGCCATTGAGCTGAATGCAACTCATTGCGACCGAAGGAGGAGGTTCTGTTGTTGTTGTTGTTCGCCTTTTTTTACGGAACTAGTTGGATGTTGATATACTTAAGGCTTTAAATTAAGTTATTATGTGCAATAAGCTGGAGAGTTAGAGATGTGTACATATTAGCAAATATAGTTATATAAACTAAAGTCACATGCATACTCCATGGAAACTCTTTTTTAAAAATTGTTTTAAAAAACACTATCATTTGCAACCATTTTCAGATAACATGTTTTATCTCTGATTAAGCTATATATGTGATTGGGTGAACTTTAAGCTATCTGAGTGTTATTTATGCAAGCAAAATGAAAATGTAATTAATGACCTTCAGTACAATACTTTCAACATTAATGGTAGTAGAGTAGTAGAGGTAAAGAAAAAGAGAAACATAACCTGTCCTCTCAGCTTCTGTAAGTGTATCTCTGAATACACCAACACACATTTCAAGGAACAATTGGAGAGGTATCTATCTGAGCTGTTTCCCACCCAACTCATAGCTTTCCCTTGTATAGTATCTCTGGTTAATGTGTTAGATTAGGGATTATCTACAGGACACAAAATATGAAAAATAGAAAAGAGGTAATAATATCCAAATTTTTAATTATTGTTGTATCAATCATAGGAAAGTCACCTTTACATGTTGGCGGTTCAGGGGACCATCCAAAGTGATAACACTGAATAGAATCTGCTCCAATTATTTTTAATTTTTGTCTACAGGCGAACCTCAGGACATCTCCAATTTTATATTTGTCTTTCTTAGGTGAAGCTTCTAAATATTGTAGTATATTAGGAACACTGCATTCTCTTTCTAAAAA